GTACTGTCGGCCTATTATCACAACTCGACTTGTACGTAGGTTTTGATTTGGGGCTATAGAGGTTCTAATGCTTTACTTCTTGTCTCAAGTTGATGCTTACTTTACATCTATTTTCAAACAGTGACGGTCTATTGCATATATATGCATGTGTTTGTGTGTGAATTTTTTGGGGAAGCGGTATCAGATGAAACCCCTTATAGAACTGTGTCTCCGCCACGGCCTCCACTGTGTTCAGGAACATGTAATTTGTCCTTGTAGAAATTGGCTCTTTTTCTTGTGTTTCTTACTTACATGCCAGCATGCAAGTCATGTTAATATTTTTTTTTGTTGCTCTATAAAATTCATATAGCTGACCTCAACTTGTTTGGGACTGAGACGTTGTTGTTGTTGTTGTTGTTGCTCTGCGACATTCTAAAACACTGTTATATTGATTTCTAAGTACGGTTAATTTTTGAACAGGTTCAGGAGGCCACTCTTATTTGTTGGAACCAATGTGGTGGGCTGGGATGTTAACTAGTAAGAGACATAACTCAAACTTAAATGTATGTTATTGTTATGCAGTTTTTTCCCCCTTAACCAGGGATCTCTGTCGATATCGAACTTCATATGTTGGCCTGGTGGGTGGCATACCACCCACCACGCCAACGTGTGCAGTTCAAATTCTGAAGTACATGCATAATCTTTGATATATATGTTCATCTATGTAGTAGTGAAAGTATTATCTTAATCCTAAACTTTCATTTGCTTGCAGTGATTATTGGAGAGGGAGCTAACTTTGCTGCTTATGCATATGCCCCGGCAATTCTTGTAACTCCTCTAGGTGCCTTAAGTATAATTGTGAGGTATGTAACCGTGTAGCGATATTGGCGTAGAATTTTACTTGGGGAAAGCTCTTTTTAGTTTCAAAAACTCATGTATAACTTTCCTTTGCAGTGCAGTGTTAGCCCATTTTATTTTAAAGGAAAGACTGCACATATTTGGTATTGTTGGTTGTGTCCTCTGCTTGGTTGGCTCTGTTAGTATTGTGTTACATGCTCCACTCGAAAGGAAAATTGAATCCGTCATGGATGTTTGGTACCTAGCAACAGAACCAGGTAATTTCTCAAATACCATCTCAGCTACATTCTTTCATTTTCTTAACCTTGCATTTCGCCTGCAGAAAAGTTTCGAGTCAGAGTTTTATATGCCAGTGGAAAATATAGTGAGCGTCTAGTACTTTTTATTTTGATTTTGTATAATATTGGTCCGCGATGTGCTTAGATGGAGCGACAGGATTAGTGAGGATTCATATAGCCGATCCTAACTTTCTTGGGATAGTAGCACACTTGTTCTTTTTGCGGAGAAATAGGGAGGCAACTGTTGCCTTACAGGCGTTGGCGTTTCTCTATATGGTGAAATCCTTATAGCTGAAACATTGGTCAAGTTCTGTATATAACAACACACTCTCTTTTTGATTGAAATAATTAATAATAACAGCATAGCAACACTTGCTTTGTTTAGTTAATATCTGCACAATTTATTTGTTTGGACTAACCAAAAGGTTTTTGAGAAGAACAGGATTCATTATATACACATGCGTAGTCGTGGTGCTGGTAATTGTCCTTATTTTCCGGTTTGTGCCTCGTTATGGGCAGAGGTATATGGTCATTTACATCGGAATCTGTTCTCTCACGGGGTCTCTCACGGTCAGTATGTTTTATTTTTACGCGTTTTCACCTGCAGATCATAGTTTCCTTATGTACATTTCATATGCTTATAACTTGACTTTTCTCTTGTTGTTATTCAGGTTATGGGTGTGAAAGCAGTTGGAATCGCGCTTAAGCTTTCATTTGAAGGAAAGAATCAGTTCAAGTATTTCCAAACATGGTTATTTACTGTGTTTGTTACAATCTTTTGCCTTTTACAGCTGAACTATTTGAACAAGGTATTTGTTGGATTCCCTTAAAGTGCAAACTAGAATACTAATTTGTATCTCCAGCTCGCTTCGGTTTTCTTAATAACTTGTTGTTGTTGTTACTTGTTGCCGCTGCTTCTTTGCATCTTTTCTTTAGCTGAAGGTCTATTAGAAACAACCTCTCTGCCCTCCCAGGGTAGAGTTAAGGTCTGTGTACACACTACCCGCCCCAGACCCTACTTGCGGGAATTCACTGGGTTGTTGTTGTTGATTTGTATTTTCAGCCATATTGTACTGAACTTCTCTCATTTTACGTTTGAACGAGCAGCAAATTTTCTGGTTTAATTCACTCCTAAAGAGTTCCATATAAGTGGTAAAACTAATATATATATATACATATATATATATATATGTATATTAGTTTTACCACTTAGATGATTGATTGGAACTAAAAATTGATAGGGAAAAGGAGTCACTAGTTTGTAGTTTCAAGTGTGTATTTTATGTTTTCATATATTATGCATGCATGTGATCAGGAGGTCACGAGTTCGAGCCTATGAAACAGCCTCTTGCAAAAATGCAGGATAAGGCCGCGTACAATAAACCATTGCAGTTCAGCCCTTCCCCGGACCCCGCGCATAGCTGAAGCTTAGTGCACCGAGCTGCCCTTTTATATCTTATGCATACACCTGTTATCTTCATAATGTTAACTATGACTCTGCTATTGTGTTTTGTAGGCACTTGACACATTTAATACAGCAGTGGTTTCTCCTGTATATTATGTCATGTTTACAACACTAACCATTCTTGCCAGCATGATAATGTTTAAGGTAATTCAGTATTCAGTTTTGTGATTCTCTTTTCTGCATTCTTTAGTTTTATCAACTTCCACTTCTTAAAGACAGTGTATTTTCTGCAAGGATTTAACTTATACACTCTGACCGTGTAAAGAATTGTTATACTATCTGTATTTTAACCTGTTGTAAATTGCCAGATCTTTAGATGACTTGATATTGTAAGAGTCCTTTTACACCGTTTGCGTATAGAAGTTAAACTCTTTCCGTAATTTGGACGCCATCTCCTTCATTATAGTTGCAAAGATAATGAAATCGAGTAATTTTAAGGGCAGTAAATGATGTTTTAGAAGAAAAAAAATTCTCTAATTGTGTATAATGGATATGTTTAGAAGATACACTTATGCAAAATAAGAAGTTTATTGTAAATTTTTCCCACTTGGTGGCCAAATTACCAGCCTATCAACTAGCCAAATTGTAAATATGTGCTGTTTTTTCTTGATTGTTTATTCATCTGAATGTTACAATAGCCAAGAGGTCACAGGTTCGAGCCGTGAAAATAGCCTCTTGCAGAAATGCAGAGTAAAGTTGCATACAATACACCCTTGTGGTCCGGTCCTTCCTTGGACCCCGCGCATAGCGGGAGCTTAGCGCACCGGGCTGCCTTTTCTTTTTGTTTTTTGTTACATCTAAAAAGGTTCCAAACTTGACAATTGTTTAATGGGATGCAGGACTGGGATCATCAGAATGCAACACAGATAATAACAGAATTATGTGGCTTTGTAACTATCCTCTCTGGTACTTTTCTCCTTCACAAAACCAAAGACATGGGAAATAGTCCAACAACAAGCAATATTCTCCTTCCAAAAACAACCAAGGACACAGAAAGTAAGCCAACGGGCGAAACCCCGAAACTTACGGATGAGGTATAAAGCAATTTCACAAGGGTTGTGATCAGAGGCGGATACAGGATTTAAACCACTGAATCCATTTTTTGCAATTATGGGTTCAAAACTTCGTATTTGTAGAAATTTTGGTGATACTACACATATATATATTTATGCCGTGTAAAAACTACTGGGTTCAGTTGAACAACATTATGTCCGCCTCGGGTTGTGATCTCTTCTTGCATCATGGAAGATAGAAGCATTTCTTATTGGAGAAAACATTACTAGGGACACTTAGAATTCTGAGGATAAGAGGCATCTATTTGAAGCTGGCAAAGAGAGGCAATGCTTACTCCTTTGTGTTATTTTGACTTCACTAATCATTCTAAGTTTTGATCACATTTGACATGCTTCTTTGATTGTACACTGATATTGTGAGAAGAAAGTTGGATTTGAAATCTTCCTGGTAACTATTTCATTGTGTATATAGTACATGAGTACAATCTGTATACAGTTTTTATTGGTTAAATTGTCTAGGTAGTTGTTATTTTCGATTTTTCTTTTTTTTTTTTTTGGTTTAAGCGCTTGGCACATATGGATTATAAACATAATGCACATTGTAATGTTAGAATATTGGCTATGAGTTCATTAGTTACTTGTGCATATGCCTAGTTACTTGTGCATATGCCTCTACCTTTTGACTAGACGTCTTGAGTTCGAGCCCTGAGAATAAAGAACTTCTCTAAGAAGCGCTTTACCTCTCCCTTGGCGTACCCAACACAAGTTCTAATTAGTCGAGCCAATAAGAATACCGAATGGTTTAAAAAAAACAACTTTTATGCAAATATAGTGCGACTCTTTCTATCAGTTTACCTATACAAAAAATAATGCAGCTTCATTTTAGTTGAAAAGAAAAGGGAAAAAAGAAAAAGAAAATCAACTCTCATAGCCTGAATAAAAATAAAAGAGGTGCAATAGCAATAAAAATTGCTTAATGGATACCTCAGCAAAGCATTGCGTAATTCATTCAATTAGATATTTAAAATTTTTACATGGTCATTAAGATGAAAATTACTAGGGTAGCAAACCAAGAAAACATTTTCATAACCACATTAATTAACCATGGTTGAGTCATAAATAGGAGGGAGAAATATACATTAATTAACCATGATTAAGTGATAAAAGTATATGTCGAAGACACAAGTAATGTTATCCTTGTTCTGGTGTAAATACCACACAATTCCATTTCTTGCATATATGCTTCTGACTCCAAGCAAAAGTTGAGCAAAAGCTTGATTAACAAAATATTATGATAACTACAACAACATCATACCCAGTGTAATCCCACATAGTGAGGTCTGAGAGTAGTGTGTACGCAGACCTTACACCCTCGACTTGGTAAAAATATTATGATAACTCTGCATATGAAAAGGAAGCCAGCAACTATTTGGATACCAGAAAAAGAAGAATGTTATCAGTCCATTTCAATTTCTCTTTGTTTTTTTTTTCTTTCCCTTAGTCGATTTCTAAGTAAAAAGAGTTCTCATCCAAGCACACAATGAACAACATATATACCAGACCTAAACCTATACATAACCAAAGTTTTATGTTTTAAAATAGGGTACATGCCCCAGGTGGTTTTTCTTAACTCCCATCCTCAGAACTGTCAACTCCGACCCCACGGAAAGCACAAACATCCCTGCGAAGAACAGCAATGAGGAGAGGTTAGAAAACGACAACTATGGCTCAATCCTAAGCAAGTTGGAGTTGGCTATGAGAGGTTACAAAACGTAAAACAAAAAAGTGAGTAATACTTTACTAGAGTGATTAGTAAGAGGTCATTCATTATCTTTTTGTTGCAACAATCTCCGAAAAAACTATGAAAATGTGTTGGAGTTTCACAAACAATTAGACTGCAGTATATTTAACAAAAGCTTGGTCCAACACGAATGAGTTACGTACAATGAGGTTGGGAGTTCGAGTCACTAAGATGGGGAAAAGCCACTGCTGGCCCCTGGAGAGGGGGTTAAGGGAGGGGGATTTGCCGTATCAGAAAACTAAATGTACATACCTTTCCACTGTCATTTCCATATCGCTTCTGACTGTTGGAATAAGATGTATCAGTTGACGTGCCAGGTACTTTTGCTGCACCAGTCTGCTTCTCCTCTCGCACTTTGTCAAATATTTGTGTGTAACCTTCTGCTGATGCAGGATCACTCTCATCCCAGTCACCAAATTTAGGAACAGCAGGGCTGTCATCAGACTGCAAATACACTGTGTTATACTCTTCCTATGACTACTCAAAGCAGTATGTGCCTATTTGTAGTTGCCATATACATCGACAATCAAAGAGTACATTAAGATAGATAGATTGGCTTGTGGGATAGTCTAATACATCCCAGAGGCACCCCTTTTTTACGGAGTAGGTTTCCTTACCTTTTTCTTTTTCCTTTTCTTTGGATTTCTTGTCTTTTTTATTTGGAAGTAAGCTTACACATTCTTCCCAAAGTCAGTGGAAAAGTAAAATAGGAAAGTAGTGTAAAATAACCAATCATGAAGGTTTGGAAATGAAGTTCGCCCATCAGAAAGGTAATCAGTAGTCGCCACGAAAAGAAAAAGAGTTGCATCATAAATAATGCCATCATAAAGGAAGACCTTTTATTTTTCCTCGCTACAAGTTCTCTTGGACTAATTCACAACAATTATAGAGAACAGGAATATATTTCATCTGTTTTCTTATGCGAGTTTGGCGAGGGACCTATGTTTATTGCTGCAGAAGTGTCTTAATAATCATAATTGTCCTGGATGTAGACAGCAAGAAAATGACAAAAAGACATACCATGTCATCGCCTTTCGTAACTGATCTCAGACGGGATCTTCCAGGTGTAGAGGGAGCCAGACCTTGACTACCTTCAGATGAAACCTTTCTTTCCCACGACGGAGAGGAAACTGCACCACCTTTGCCTCCAACCCTTCCCTGGGAATGTGGATGCAGCGGAGAGTGCTCAATGCTGCGATCAGGTCCCCCACTTTGCTGAGAGGCCCGCTTAGGTGTAGCACCACCACTTAAGCCGCCATAGCGATGATGAGGTGATTCCATAGGAGTTCTTCTCCCCGTGTTCTCATTGCGCATTGGGGAATCAGTAGGTCTCCTCAGATACTCTTCTCTACTTGGCCGACGTTCATGCCTTGCTGTTGGGATTTCCGCACCCTTCATTGTTTCTGATTCTGACTTGTTGCCTACAGATTTCACACCATATCGTTGTGGAGATGAGTAAGTTGGAGCTTTTTGACCCATAGCGTCTGGGTGCAATGGGGAGTCAATTGATTTCCGCGATTCTACATCATCTCTCCTGGAAAAACGCTCATCTTTTGATCGTACTGCATCTCTTCCATTTTGACCTTTTACTTCTGCCTCAGGATCCTGAGGATCATTTGGATTCATTTTACTGCCTTTCTTACCCTTACTAGCATTCTCAAAATAGGTAGTATAGGCAACATCTTCGTCGTTCTCCCAGTTGCCAAATTTTGGTACTTGTGAGTGCTTCTGCAAGAATATGCAAACCACATTCATGTTGCATTCGAGCTTCTAGGCAAGTGTAGCTTAGAGCCCAACCTCCATTTAATTAGATATGCAAGTAAAAATAAAGAAAAATAGAGAAAGTGTAACACAAAACAAGTCTTTATGACGTGGTAAAATAAACTCAAGTAAAGGTGAGTTTCCTGTATAGAAAAGAACGCCTCTACTTTTCCTGTGGTAAAATAAGCACAAGTAAAGACCTAGAGATGATCACACAGGGTTAATCTGGTTTAGCAGGTGCAATGGAACAAAAATTGTAGAGAAAATGCTCATCTTCCAACATCTAAACATCATCCTTTGGAAAAAAAACAAAAGGAAAAAAATAAAAGAAGATGAGAAGAGTCGAACCAACTAAAGTCCCAAATGCACCCATCCAAAGATATACTAAACTATATGTGATATGAAAAGAATTGATATCAGAACACGGAGAAGAAGTAGAAAATTAATTGTAAAAGGGAACATCATTCCTAGAGCAAAGCAGATAACTTACGTTACGCCATAGTGGAATACTTAGCTTAACATTTATAATATAATGCCACATGGAATCACTCAAGAATTAGGCTTTTATGGAACTTAAGTTTACTCTTTAGCCTCAAGAACTGGCTAGCTTAGGTGCCTTAAACTCAACTGGAAGTATAGGGGATGATCATTTTGACGGTCCTGGTGTTACCAAACATGAGAATTCCCAAGGACTATAAATATGTGATAAAACCCTTAGAACCGATTTGCTTAGTTCAAGGCCACACTTAATCCCCATTTGCCTCAAGAACCAGTACATGGCAAACGGTAGTGTCACAATCATGTCTACAAGAAGTAAACAACTATAATTTGTATGCTGCCTTTTGCCTATTGCCTACTAACTAATCTTAGTACTGAATAGTAAACTGGAGAGACAAAGCAGAAACAACCAAATAAAACAGGCAGGGATGAGATGTTTGCATTCAGAGATAAGCAAGACTACTTGTTTTAACACCACAATGCATGTCAACTTTCAGTATCACTAATACTATCAATTATCTAATAAAAGATGGATAAGAGCTTGAGAAAAGGTCAGTACCGTGCAACACATAAATCTGGTTTTACTTCAGTCTGTACTCTATTTCCATTTGCCAGAGAATCGAAGCAAAATAAGGCTGGCTAATGTTTATGGGTCAACCTAGCCTATAGAGACTCCACGATCCAGCTGACAGAAATCAGTTGAGTGGATAAGAGTCACCCGACTATGTTTCTAAGATGCACAATACACTCTAAATGATTCCACAATGTTTAACAATAGCTTCATGGTAATCACCAAGTGACAATCTGCTTAACAACAGCATTACTTCTCAGACTCGAAGAAAATGCATAAATTGCACTTAGTTCTACAACTTATGAAATTCCAATACTAGCAGCACAGTGAAAAAGCTAAAAGACGGCTTTGCAGTCTTTTACATTCCTCTATCCATTCTCATTACATTTGGTCTCTTTACAAGATTAACAGATCTTTATCTAGTCCCAAAATTCTAGCTCAAGTGCTCAACAATCTAGCTTTAAAAGTACTATTCCGCGAAAATCCAAAACTGAAATGTCCTTCTACAATCACTTTTCTTTAGGGAACATCCACATTACGCGCTTTTAGTAATCCAACTAACGTTAAAAACTCAGACCAACACTGAATTTCTTAGTTGCAGCTTGTTATAATATATGGATCCAGCTTAACAATTCACTTTCCATTTCTATAGCTTGTTTTTAGACCATAAGTTTCAAAATTCTTTCTTTCTTAAATTTCGTGCCCAATCAAACACCATCACATAAATTGGGACTGATGAAGTATTATACATTTTTTTTGGGGTTGGGGGGGGGGGGGGGGGGAAGAAGAACTAATTTTTTTTGTGGATTTCACTAGAACTCAACAAAATACACATAAGCACTTAATTGTACCCATCCATTCACAAAATCAAGTTAGCCTCAACACCAAGAATCAAATCAGGTTCAGCAATTAAATCAAGATTATCTTTTTCAACTCCCAAAACTTCTATAAAATTTATAAAGAAACCATTTTTAGCAAAAGAAACATTCCACAGAATACACAATCATTTCAGCTTAAAATTTATCAAAATGCAAGAGAGAAATAGATCAAGAACTCACAGCCATTATAAAGGGTAAGTACAGCTAAACAGCAGCAGCTTAGAAAAATTCAGCTGAGATGTTAAGATGAAGCTTTCACTGTTGTTTCCAAGATTTTATTTTTCTTTCTTCTTTCTTCTTTCTTCTTCACTGTGGTGCCAGCTCAGAGAGAGAGAGAGAGAGCGCAAATGGGGGGTTGGATGACTGGGTGACTGGCGCCACCAGTGACGTTTGACATCCCACATACTCTTGTCAGATCAAAAAGATATATTTTTAAATTATAAATAGAATATTAATTTCATTTATTATCAAATTATCAATTACTCACTCCGTCCTAATTAATGTGAGTGGTGTTTGAGTCGACATGGAATTTAAAAATAAAGGAATATTATTGGAACTTATAGTTTAAAACAAGTCATATATATTTGTGACTATAAATTATTTTATTAAGTAAAAAGTTTAAAATTAAATTATTTGTATGTAAGGAAGTATGATATTTTTTTTAGGACATTGAAAAAAAAAATACAATGCATAAATTGAGACAGAAGGAGTAATAATTATAAAAAAATTTACCTACAATTATCTAATAAATTATATGATTGTTTCTGTCACTACATGAAACTAAAAATTATTAATTAATAGTCTAGACACACACAAATTATTTCATGAAATTATGTCATATATATAAACATATTGAAAAGAAATTAACTTTTATGTATTAATAATATAAAGAATTTTTTAAGTATATTACTTTTAACTTATGTTACACTACGAAATGTTTACCTCGCTATTTAATGAAAAACAAATGACACGTATTTTCAAGCACATGGTGTAGCCAATCGTGAATTTGTCGGCACTCGACAGTGTAACCAACATGCTACAGTGCACAGCAGTCACATCCTCATCAGTCCTCTTTAATTTTAATTATAATATATGGTTTTTTTGGCTCAGGTTATAATATATGTTGAAGGACTAATAGATTATGGGTTATCGTTTCTCCTAATGTTTTCTCTAGAAGAAAATAATGACCCGTTTCAATTAAGTCATTCCTAAATATTTCAAACTATTTAGGAAATCTTGCCATAGTAATATCAGCAGGAAATCTCTCTCGGCGCACGTTAAGCAAGGTCTGCTAACTTGCACCGGCGGAGATGGCGAGACAGAGGAAGAAGAACCCCATAGCTAAGGAAATGAATGTGGATGAGGAAGATAAGGCAGATGACGAAGATACAAGACTAGTTACACCAGAAACGGGGATTCCCCAAGCTTTAGACTCGGTGCAACTGTTCCATTGGATGAAAGGTATGGGGAGTGCACCAACTGTTCTGCATGGACAAGAGAGGAAGAAATCGGAGGAGCTGGTGGCAATTCAAACACAGGCAGCTCCGATAACTAAGACTCCTGCAGATCCTGCACCAAATGAGACGGAAATGGCGACGGCAGCTAGGAAACTGACTTTCTCGACAAGCATAGGGATCTCAAAACCAACTCTAGTTGCTGTGGTTCAAGGTAATAGATCTATACAACAGGGTTTGAAATTGAACTATTATCCCCCTATTGTTAAGGATGGAAGGAAAATTGTTAGATTGAACCTCATAGAAGTGGAAGAGCAGAAGAGGAAATGGAGGACTAGCTTAATTGGCTATGTCATAGGTGGATCTCCTCAATTTAAAGAGATGTTGAAATTTGTGCATGGAGTTTGGCAATTTGTTTCAACTCCACAGGTACTAATGCATGATGAAGGCTACTTTATTTTCAAATTTGAGAATGATGAGGACAGAGATTTAGTCCTTCAAAATGAACCATACACTTTCAACAATAGACCTATGATTCTGAAAGTATGGGAACCAGACTTCCAAATGTGTAAGGAATCCACAAAAAATATTTCAGTGTGGGTAAACTTCCCTGGGCTACCTATACAATACTGGACAACAAAGAACTTAGGGAGAATTGCAAGCTCAATTGGCAACCCAATTTGCACTGACAAACTAACAGCACAAGAGGCTAGAGTATCCTATGCTCGTATGTTGATTGAAATGGATGTGTCCCATGCACTACCTGAGACAGTGCTGATAGAAACCGCTGAAGGAAAACAAGGGAGCAAAAATTGAGCTATGATTAGCATCCTTCCTTCTGTCAAGAATGTCTCACAATAGGGCATGACACAGGGGAATGTAATGGCCAAACAGAGATGGAAAAGTACAAAGGACCAGATGCTAAAAGGACATATAGGTGGACATAACAAGAGGGGAAAAAGAGTAACCACAAAATGGATTGTGAAGCAAAAGACAACAGAGGAAGCACAAGCTAAAGAGGTCAGAGAAGAGACTAGCAAAGAAGAGCCAATTGCACCACCAATTACCAATACAGAAATAGAGCAGAAGGACAATGGTTTTCAGATAGCAAAGTCAAAAGGAAAACAGGTGCAAAGCCCCAAGGAGAGAAGCTCAATGAGAAAGGGTATGACTGATGAAACTATTGAAGCTATACTACAGAAAAACAGATTTAATGCCCTAAGAATCCAGGAAAGAGAGGATGCTAGTTTGGCATTTAAAGAGGAAACAGTTCCTTTGGCTCACCCCCCATGATTATTAGTTCATGGAATATTAGAGGGCTCAATAAACCCTATAAGCAGAAAGAACTCAAGGCTTTTCTGCTTAAGAATAAAATCACAGTGTTAGGGTGCCTTGAGACCAAAGTGAAAAAATTTAATGAAAGAAAAGTTAGAAGGAGGATTGGAACTGAATGGGAAGTATTCTCAAACTATGCATACGCTCCCAATGGGAGAATATGGGTAATATGGAAGACTCAACAAGTAGATGTTAATATAACTCAGGCTGGAACTCAATTGGTGCACTGTGAGATCAAGGACAGGAATTCAAATTTTAATGCTGGCTGACTTTTGTGTATGGTTATAATACTGTTGCAGAGAGACAAGAAATATGGAATCAACTAAGACAGATAAATAGCACTATGATGGAGGCCTGGCTGATTCTGGGAGATTTCAACACTATGTTATCTGTTAATGACACAATAAATGGTAATCTAGTCCATCAGAGTGAAGTAGTTGATTTCCAAACTTGTGTTGATGATACTAGTTTGGGATTGTTAAACAGAAAAGGATGTAAATGGTCTTGGTGCAACAAAAGAGAGAATACTGATAGAATATACGGCAATACGACTGGGCTTTGGGGAACTCGTACTGGTTCATGAAATATGGCTATATAGAGGCAGTATATGAGAACTATGGGGTCTCAGATCATTCACCCATAGTATTATGTACTGAGATTATCAGAAACCACTTACCAAAGCCATTTAGGCTTCTTAATGTACTTTTGCAGGAAGAAGAATTCAACAAGCTAGTACAAGAGGTGTGGGATCAAAATATAACTGGATATACTATGTATTCAGTTTGGCAAAAACTTCAGAAACTTGGAAACAGGGCAAACGGAATGAATAGAGTCTATAATTCAGTAGACAAAAAGGTTGAAATTCTAAAAGATCAGCTGCAGGAAATTCAGAAGAAGATAGAAAATGATCTGTTCAACAATACCTTGATCCCGGAGGAGAAAGAACTACTGATGTAAAAGAAAAGTGGCAAGGTATACAAGAGAAAGTCTACAGGCAGAAATCTAGGGCAGTGTGGATTGCAGCAGGAGACTCAAACACAAAGTTTTTTCATGGATATTTGAAGGCAAGGCAAGCTAGAAACCGAATTACTACTATCTGTAATGAGCTTGGACAAAAACTGACTGATCCTCTACTAGTTGAACAAGAGTTTACATCCTTCTTTGAAGGTCTCCTAGGAACAAGGGCTTCAGAATTATCCTGTCTTGATGTAAACATAGCTAGAAATGGTCCTTGTTTAGATAGAGAGCAGCAGCTGAACATGATCAAGAGTGTTTCTGATAATGAGATCCTACAAGGGCTAAAGGAGTTACCAAGTGACAAAGCACCTGGCATTGATGGTTTTCCAGTAGAATTCTTTAAGACATACTAGAATATAGTTGGAGAAGAGGTGATAAGGCAGTCAAGGAGTTCTTTGAATCAGGAAAGTTATTTAAGAGTGTATGCAATGCAACCATTACACTAGTACCAAAAGTGGATAGTCCTTCTTTTGTCAAAGAATTCCGGCCTATAGCATGTTGTACCACCATTTATAAACTCATTGCCAGAATTCTCACTTCAAGACTCAAAACAGTGGTGGACTTCATTGTTGGACCAGCTCAATCAGCATTTATAGAAGGGAGAAGTATACTAGACAATGTTATCCTTGCTCATGAATTGGTGAAAGGATATAGCAAAAAAGGGATCTCACCTAGATGCATTATCAAAGTGGATATAAGAAAGGCCTATGATTCTGTTGAATGGTCTTTCTTACAAATGGTGCTGTTGGAGTATGGGATTCCTACTAAGTTGGTGCAGTGGATTATGGAGTGTGTAACTAATGCAAACTATTCTATACTGATCAATGGTGGACTCACAAAAAGATTTCAAGCAAAGAAAGGATTGAGACAAGGGGATCCTATGTCCCCATACTTATTTGTCTTAGTGATGGAATATTTGAGCAGAACTTTGAAGAGTCTCAAGGATATTCCTGATTTCAATTTCCATCCAAGATGTGCAAAAATGAACCTCACTCACATCTGTTTTGCAGATGATCTGATCATGTGTTGCAGAGCTGACAAGACCTTTATCCAACTACTACTAGATAAGTTCAACCATTTTTCAAAGGTGACAGGGCTCATGGCTAACTTAGATAAAAGCTCTATCTATGTAGCTGGAGTCAGCTAGGGATTTAAAGAAATGATATGCTCAGACTTTCAATTCAAGATGGAGTCCTTGCCATTCAAGTACTTGGGAGTGCCTTTATCCTCAAGGAAACTATCTATTCAGCAGTGTATGCCATTAGTAGAGAAGATTACAAACAGAATAAAGTGCTGGACATCAAAGCTCCTATCATACAGTGGCAGACTACAACTGATAAGAAGTGTGTTGTTTGAAATGCAGACATACTGGGGGCAGGTGTTTTTGATACCAAAGAAGATCATACAACTAGTGAACTCTGTCTGTAGAATTTTCCTATGGACAGGAAGTTATAGTCCTTCAAGAGAGCTTTGATTTCCTGGGACAGAATATGCATGCCTGTATCAACCGGAGGTTTAAATGTTATAAACTTTGAATGGTGGAATAAAGCAGCACTGTGTAAGCTAATGTGGGTAGTCCACTCAAAGAAGGATGCTCTTTGGATCAAATGGATTCACTCAGTGTATATAAAGAAGAAGGATTTCAATAGTATGCAGACTCCTAATCAAGCTTGCTGGCTGGTAAGGAAAATATTTGATATTAGAGACTGGTACACAAACATTGAATCCTTTGCAAATATAAACAAGTTTTGCAGAAGAGAAAAATTCAGTATTCAGAAGATGTACACTCTATCAAGACCTCAGTATCCAAAGGTTGGGTGGAAAGCCTTACTATTGGGTACAAGCATCCCTAGGCACAACTTTATACTATGGCTAGCTCTAAATCACAGACTTAATACTGTGGATAGATTAGCAGCATGGGGCATACCGGCCGACCTTGGATGTGTCCTATGTAAGAATGGGCAAAATGAAACTATGGCTCACTTGTACTTTGAATGTCAATACTCAAGAAGCATATGGGACATTCTGCTTAATTGGATAGGAGAGAAACATCAGATTGGTTCATGGGAAGAGGAAGTCAAATGGCTGAGTGCAAGAACAAAAAACAGTCGAGCCTATGGTAGTATTCTGGCATTTCTGTTTGCAGCACTAATATACCATACTTGGATAGAAAGGAACATGCGTAGATTCCAAGGAAAAGAGACTGATGTGAAGAAGATGATACAAGACATTGTCCTTCAATTATACATCAAAGGACAGCAGAAGGCAAAATGAAAGAAGTACTTAGAAAGAATGAATAGCTTTCCTCTATGAAGTTTAGTCTAGTAGAGGAACTATTAAGTCTGTAAATGTTCTTTTTGATACAATATTTTGATGTTTTCTTTGAGTCTAACTCTTTAGTCCAAAAGAGTTAGAGGTGCTGCAAAAATATCATTACTGGTTAAATAAAATTTGATATTTAACCAAAAAAAAAACTATTTTCTTGTGAGACGTTTCAAAAGTGCCATAAGACTAGAAAATAGAATCTAGAACCAGAAGAATAGAAGCTAATAGAAAAAAAAAACTTTTTTTTACCTGGTAGTTTATGGAATGTCAGAAAGGTAGGATCAGTCAATCCAACATTTTATAATCCGTTATTTAATGCCAGTAAACAGCTGCTAGTTACTTTAGGTAAGAATCTAATGTTAAATAAATATGTCAGTGTTAGTAAACTTTGGTGACATACAAGAAATTTGAAATTCAGATGTATAACTAAGGGGTCAATTGGTTGGGAAACAAGTTATCTCATGATTAATTATTTCGGGATTAGTTACCCCACCCTCCCAAAGGATAAAAAAAACTCTTACAATTCCGGAATAACTAATCCCAAAATTATATACCACAATTTTATCCCAACCAAACATGGGATAAACTCATCTCATATTTAATTCCGAGATTAATCATCCCTTATCTCTCATATTAAACGAGCGCTTTTGATTAACCAACACAAGCAAAGCAACTTAGCACTACAATGACTAATACAACTCGTTGCAAATATTAACCGAGTATTCACTCTGCCATCTCCTGACATAAGTGAAGGAAAAGGGAACTCATTGATGCAATACAATAGAGAATTTCTGTAATATGTAGCTTCAAGTAGAGGACAAAAAAATGAATACATATTCTAGTTGCCATAAGAAGAAAACAGAAAATAAACAAAGAAAAAAGAAACATCAAATGAATTGCTTTAGAAACTCAGTAGCAACAAGTCTCCCTCGGGTGTTCACTGATAGTTTGAGTTCACTGATCTCCTTATCGATATCCTACAATTTCAAGCAGAGATTCATAAAACTCTTTGAATTAAATATCAATAAGTTACGTAAGTGATTGATGCAGAGGTTTTACTGCTACTTTATCCTTGGAAGGGTGGGAGTTAATAAGTGTACCTCCATGAATTGCACTATGAAATCAATAAGCTTCTGCTT